GGAAGTTGTTTTCTCTATAGACCATCCTATGCTCATGTATTTCAGAAACAATTGGCATGGGCATTACGAGTCTGCTGTTGTATCACCTGAGAGGAAGACTCTTCCAGCAAATATTGAAACGGTGTTAAAGTCTGACATGGAGAGGAATTACCTTCACCCACTACCAATATCCCTGGCCAAGTTCGAGGACCTGCAGGTGCTAAAAAGGATCTGCAACCCAAAGCAAAATGTATTTTTTGACAATCTTTCTTATGATAGCAGCATGCCAAACAACCTCCATGAGGAAAAATCAGATTCGGAAATCATTATTGCATCAAAATGTTGTAAAAAAAAACTCAATCACTGTCAATAGTAATGATTTTTTTGTAATAAACAAGTAAAAAAAAACTGCTTTGGTATGGTGTGTCCATATTCAAGTAATCAATTGTACAGGCATAAAAAAAAACAAAATCAACTTCAGTTCCATCATTCCTAGTCATTTACAACAGCAAAATAGGCATTATAATCCATTTAACATTGACTGGGTACATTGCAATTCAGCTTGTAGAAGAAAGTCTCAAGTGAGTGGTCTGTAAAAGGGGAAAAAGACACATGTCTATGACCACCCCTAGTTGTTTAAATCCTCCATATTTAATTAAATTATACAATCTGGACAGAGAATTTCTCATAAATACAAAAGAAGTGATACATCTATAAAACAAAACACTTGGTGTCTCAAGAAATAAAACAAGAACAAACATAGACAAAAACTTTCAAAGACAAAATTTCATTTATCTCAAAAGTGAAAATGTGTGAAACATGTCCCTTTTTTCTTCTGTAGTCTTCACTCCCAACAAGGCTGCAAGCAACCACTATTAAGTTGGGAGTTACTAGGAAAAAAAAGAACAGAGTTACAGAGCAAGGAAACGGTTGACAGAAGAATTGAAAAGTTAAAGGTTGTATGAGTCAGGAAAACATGAAGACGGGAGAGAGTTCCAAAGGATTGAAGTACGGGGAAAAAAACTAGAAGAATAAAAGTTTTTAGAGCATGCAGGGACAGATACAGTAAACGAATGAGACTTAGCTGAATGACGAGTAAAACGAGAATGAATTTTAAATGATGGAACTAGAGATGATAACTCCTTTGAGCAGTGACCATGATAGTATTTGTAGAAAAAAAAAAAAGAGATGCAACTTTACGACGATGGGAAAGAGGCTCAAGCTTAGCAGATAGTCCAGGTCCAACAACATTTACAATGCATTTTTGGACCTTGTTAAGAAGAGAAAGTGAATCGTTAGAAGAACCAGCCCAAATATGACAACAGTATTCCATACAGGGACGAATAAGAGATTTGTAGAGGTAGAGAATGGAATCAGAAGTAAGGAAATGGTGAGCACGATAAAGAGAAGCAACCTTAGCAGAAGCTAATTTAGCAATCGATTGTATATATGGCCTCCATGAAAGGTCAGTAGTAAACGATAATCCAAGAAGACTTAAAGAGGAGGACCCAATAAGAGGATTGCCATTCATTAATATAGGAATGTTGACCATATTACGGTAGTTGTTTGCAGTAAACAACTGGGTTTTGTTAGAGTTGAAATTCACAAGCCACTGTGAACCCCAATCTATTACTGAAGTGAGACCGGATTCAAGATCAGCTGCTTGTTCTAGGCGATCGAAAAGAGAAGACTTTTTGTCAAGACAGGAGTATGAAGTTGAGTCTTCAACAAAAAGAGCTACTTTAGATGAAAGGTTGTCAGGAAGATTGTTTATGTAGATAAGAAACAAAACAGGGCCCAGGATGGAACCTTGGGGAAGTTACTGGAAATAAAGAAGAGTGTTGGCCTTCAAGGATGACTTTAATAAACTGGTTAGAAAAAAATGATTTAATAATCTCAATAACTTTCCCAGAAACACCATATGAAGCAAGCTTATGGAGAAGACCAGCATGCCAAACTTTGTCGAAAGCTTTAGATATGTCAAGAGCAATAGCCCTAGCCTCACCGCCTCCATCTAATGCACGATAAAATCTTTCAGTTACAGCAGTTAGCAAGTCGGCCATAGAGCGAGAGGATCGAAAACCCTATTGATTGTCTGACAGTAGTTTATTTGACTCAAGATGAGATGTGAGGAATTTGTTGGTCAAAGACTCAAAGACCTTGCTAATAACAGAAGGAGGGGTCAGAATTTTCTCCAGAGTTTTTGAATATTGGAACCACAGATGCCATTTTCCAACAAGCAGGAAAACAAGACTCAGTCAAACACTTGTTAAATAGTTTAGAGAGAATTGAAGAAAGTTCTGGAGAACAATTCTGCAAGACTGTGACAGGAATGTTGTCTGGACCACAAGCTGTAGACGAGTTTAATTGAGATATGACTTTAGCAACAGAAGCCACACAACTTTAGCAACAGAAGCAACTATAGCAACAGAAGTGATTTGAATGTCTAACAATGGGTCAACCTGTTTGACTGGAATGGAAGGAAGAGAATGTCCATAAGATTCAAGTGGAATTAGAAGAAAGTGGAATTAGAAGAAAAGTTCTTTGCAAATAGTTCTTCCTTATCCTTGGGAGAGGTAATAAAATCAGTCCCATGAATGAGAGATGGAATGTTAGACCTACCCTTGTTAATAATGCTGTTGAAGATTTTCCAAAAGTCTTTAGAGCCTAACTTCTGTGATAAGATGCAAGATTTAGTGAACTGAGAATGATGGAGTTTAGCGTCAGAAAGCACCTTTTTACATAGATTTCTTGCAATAAAAAATAGCCGTTTGTTCTCAAGAGAGTTGTTCTTTTGAAAAAGATGAAAAAAATGATTACGATAGGATATAGCAGCTGCACAAGAAGGAGAAAACCATGGAGTAGAATGAGGCTTGACTTAAAACCGACAAGAAGGAATAAAAGCTTCCATTCCATCCTGAATCCAGGAGGTTACGTAGGAGGCGCATTTATCAGCTGAGAGAGAAAAAACATCAGCCCAAGGACCATCACAAAGAAAATCACAAAAAGAATCCCAGTCAGCTTTAGGGTAGTAGTAGGTGGTGCGATGATAAGGTGAGCCCAAAAAAGAAGTACGAGAAGAAAGATTTATAGAGATCATTGCTTGGTCAGTTTCACCTAAGGGAGAATAGGGAGAAACTGAACATAAGCTAGGGTCAGAGACAAGACATAAGTCAAGGAGTGAAGGTAAATGATTAGGGTTGTCAGGAAAATGAGTCACAAAGTTAACTATCTGAGTAAGAGATTGAGAAACGCAGAAGTTAAAAGCTTTAGTGCAAGCAGGATCAGTGGTGTTAGAGCCAAGCCATTCAGTGTGATGGACATTAAAATCACCAACAACAAAAATATTGGCAGAGGGGTAAAGAGAGAGGGCATGGTCAATTTGATAAGAGATAACATCTAAAAGAGTGCAATCATGGGAAGAAGGAGAACGATAAAGAACAAAGAGAAAGATGATAGAGTAAAGAGGTGCTAGGCGAAAGCACATAAAAGAATGGTCAAAGGATTTGAACCTGATTTCACGACAAATAGGGGAATTAATGCGTATGTATACCCCTAAACCTAGCATGTGACTATTGGAGTCTTTACGAATCAAAGGATAGTACCCATCAACACTGACATCTGAAGAAGGAATTGCAGAATTTAAATTTGTTTCACTGAGTGCAAGCAAATCAGGTGAATTTTGCAGGAGGTAAGACTCAACTGACGGAAAGTTGCTTCGCAGACCACGATATATTATGTGTATATATATATATATATATATATATATATATATATATATATATATATATATATATATATATATATATATATATATATATATATATATATATATACATATATACATATACTTTTATCAAATTTTAAAAGATTTATTTTAAAACAAAAACTTTCTAATAAAAATGAAAAATGTTAACATTTTTTTTTTCGTACCAAATAAAGTTAAATAACGCAGTGGTTAGAGTTCTGACCAAAAGGTTTAAAGCTTGATCCACACTATTACTATGATAGCAATATTAGAAATATCAGTTATAAAATTTCCACATTAAATGATTTTCTTTGATATTAAAGACTTTCGAACCACAAAAAACAAAAACAAAAAAACAAAAAATAAAAAAAAAACATTAAAAAAAAAAAAAAGCTGATATACTGTATTATTTAGATAAAAAAATAACTTGACTAAATTAAAGGGTGTTTTTTTTTTAGAGGTATAGAACTTTAAGTGCAACACTTTTACAGTGCATACAGAAGTCATTGCAGCTGTAGAATGAAACGTAGAGGAAGACAAAAATAATTGCATTTTCAATGAAGTTATTAATAATTATTAAAGTTAATAAAACTTTCTGGTTTCTGGTTAACAAACACAAACAATGCAGAAAAGCACCGCACCTGAGTTCATGAAAGAACACAAATACATATAGCAAGTTATTAGATATAAAGAAATGTTTCTAGATATTGATTTACTAACTCTAATTATTTTTGCTTAAGTTACCATTCTTAACAACTCGTTATACTTTTTTCTGCTTTAAATACTAATTAAAATTAAAAAGCTCACTCACTAAACATCATCAGCGATATTGTGAAGCAGTTTCGCTTCCTCGTCAAAAAGTATTTTTAACCTTTTTAATTAATTTCTATCTAGTTCATTTAATTTCTATATTAATTCAATGATTTAATTATTTTATTTGTTTATCTTACTAAGAAGAATTGTTTCAAATATGTTAAACTTTTTAAACTACGCGAAACATAAAATAGGTATTAAAAAAATTAACTTTTTTTACTTATAAAATAATTTAGCTTAGATAAAACTAAAACCTGCAAACTTTTTTAAATAAAGAACATTTGTTTCCCTTTTAAACAATCGTAAGATTAATTTTATAAAAAAATCAAAGAGGGATGTTTTGAAAATATTTGTTCTAAACGTAATTTATTTTACTTTAAGTTTTTTTGCGTTAAAAGTGTTTTTTTGTGATTGTCTCTGATCGGTCCAATTAATCTTTGTCACTTTTTTTTTTTGCTTT